TGAGACTGAGTATTGGGAAGAGTTGAAAGAGACATCGACTGCATTTTACCAGATAAATTGGAAGAATTATCAGGATTCTGAGTAACAAAAGTATTCGAACTTCTGCAAACAGTCTTGATGTGTCCAACTTTACCACATTTGTGACACTTAGCACCCCGAAAACGGCAAGTGCTTCGTAGATGTAACTTTCCACAGGAAAAACACGGATTTATGTTTTTGATCTCTGGCTGCATTCTATTTCCTGTGGACGACAATTTGGATTGCTTTCCATGACCACTTGTATTTTCGACTTTAGAAAGCATGACATCAGATACTGACGTAGTGGGAGCAGAGTATTCATTATTGACATTTTCATATGTAATACATACATCTTTAGCAGTTTGAAAAGTACAAGAAGGAATCTGAATTAACTCTTTCTCTAACTTAGGAATATTGATTCCAGCAATTAGACGATCACGTAGTTGAGTATGCAGCTGATCTCCAAAGTTACACTTTGAGGCTTGAATTTGAAGTTGAAGAATGAAGTCTCTAATCTTCTGGTTGGGAGAACGTACCAGTTTATTGAAGTGAGCCCTCTCTCTGGTCTCAAATGTAGTCACATGAAAGTGATTTGTCAGAAGTTCACGAATCTTGACATATGACAGAGAAATAGGTTGATCTGGAAACGACAGAGTCTTTACTAGGCTATACGCATCTAGCCCAATAGCAGTGATGAAATGTGCTGGTATTTTGTCATCCCGAACATTCTTTGAAATGCACCACGCATCGAAGCATTCCAAATAATCAGCAATCACCCGCGGAGACCCATTAATGGGAAATTTTCCCAGGTTATTTAGTTCCACCGAGAAGCCAATTTGTAATAATTTATAGTAATCGCAGTATTAGTATTTCGAGATGACCGAATTACACGAATCCAACCAAAACACAGAGAGGGAAGAACTCAGAAATTTGTATTTAGCGGAATTATTATGCAATTCATATAAGAAAATATTAACCATCAACAGTAAGTATTTAAACAATACAAAGATAGAAACAGTCAAACACCACATATAAATACATATTAAAGGCTCGCTCCCTTTCTATCCGCATATTCGCCACATCCGAAATTTCCGACTACACCCCCACTCACTGTGTTGGATGCATACGCAAGAACCAACACACTTCAGCCAAAAATCAATCTCACACTCACTGTGAAGCCACGCTAGCTAGCTAGCACATGTGAACACGAAACACACCTATCGAAACACCCATCAATGTCACACACAGACACACACATATGTCACTAACAAAGCAAACCAAAAACAATATCACAACACTTTCACTCACTCACTCACTCACTTATTCTCACACATCAAGAAGATTCAGTTGTGTGGATACCTCATACGTCAATGAGTCGATCATATTGCCAAACGCTGACTGTAGGGGACTAATATTAGAGTTAACTAACATTCCAAGAATAAAAGTAATAATCCAAGTCAGTGGAGTGTTAAATCACAATATATTACCAAAAATACAGTGACGAGTTATAGCAACAAAAAGGATTACTTGGTTATAAAGTGTAAGTCCTCGGCTACAAATTAATTATATAATCCACAGGCACGTTAACTGTTTGGACTGCGTCTGCTGTAGCTGCTGTGTTCCGGTTGTAGAAATGTCTTCGGTTGAGAGTAGTAGGCTCCTACAATAAATCCGAAGTATACAACACGGTGTGAGTGGAGCAAGTAAGCAGAAGTGACCAGGGAGAAGACGAAGTCTCCAACAGCAGAGTGTATTTTTCAATTGTACACGGAAGTTATGTATATTTCAACAAGAAGCGTTTTAAACAAAAATTATGTACAATATCTCGAATTTATACAAGTAACCAAAAAGTGTACAATCACATTGTTACGTACTCAACACGGCTCCCCCCTAGAGGTCCGGAGAGACAACCGGAAAATGATAAGTAAAACTATGAAGTAAATAATAATAGTAATAGCAACTTTTGGATAAAAATAGGGATATATTACAACATGCATAAACGCGAGAAGGTATGTGAATCATGTAAAGTCTGAAAGCATATACAATGAGTTCAGCAATAAAAATTGAAATAGAAAGTCATGTCACTTAAATTTGCACTAACCATGAACATAGATTTTTAATGTATAAAGAAAAATATGTAAATACACAGTAATTAAGGAGGGGAAAGAAACATTAAAAAAAATATGGATTAAAGATCAATAGTTTTTGAAAGGACACTACCTGTTTTTTCGGTGAGGTACATATAAATAAATAATAGTGATAGTAACATCAAAGTTTACGACGAAATACTAACGGTCATGATGATAATGTCTAAACGAAAAAGATAATAATAATTTTTAATTATTTTTCTTTTGTTAGTCCTCAAAATGAACGTAGCGAGCCGGTTTACTGATTTGCCGACCACTACGTGTGTGATATGGAGGGAGGATAAGACTTGGTGCCGGTGGAGGGGAATCGGATGTTTGATTATTTGATTGCGCAGCTGCCGATGTAGATTCGAAGTCGTTGTCGGTGTATGCGGGTTTGATTCGATCAATTGAAACAGTCTCTCGTCTTCCATTCTTGTTCACTGTAAAGTGTTTGTCTGAACGTTTAATAACTTGAAAGGGTCCTTCGTATGGAGGTTGCAATCCTTTTCTGATGGCGTCGACTCGAATGAAGACGAATTTGCAAGTTTGTAGATGTTTGTTGATCTGATCTCTTCGGGGAGATTGTCGAGGTGCTGTTGGTTGAAGTTGAAGCATTTGTCTAGTTAATCGGTTAGTGAAGTCGGCAATGTTCACGTCTGTGGAATCGGCTGAGGGGACTAGCTGTCCAGGCAAGGTTAGGTTGGTGCCATAGACAAGTTGAGCCGGTGTACATCCTAAATCTTCTTTGATAGTAGAACGGATACCAAGTAAAATCAAAGGTAAGTATTCACTCCACTTAGATGTATCATTCTGCGCCATCAGGGAGCTTTTCAGTTGTCTGTGGAATCTTTCCACTAGACCATTCGCTGCCGGATGATAGGCTGTTGTGGAGATATGTTTCACTCCCAGAAGTCTCGTCAGTTCGCGAAAGAGTGTCGATTGGAATTGAGGACCGCGGTCGGATGTAATAGTAGTTGGTACACCGTAGTTTGACACCCAACGGTCGAGAAAAACTAAAGCAACGTTTTCAGCAGATATGTCGTTTAAGGGGCATGCAATAGCCCAACGAGTAAATCTATCAATCGCTGTCAGGATATGTGTATATCCCCTTGATGTTGGCAATGGTCCCACGATATCTATATGGATATGCTGAAATCTCCTTTCGGGTAATTTAAACGTCTTCGGGGTTGTAATAGTGTGGCGGTGTACTTTGGAGCATTGGCATTGGATACATTCTCGTGCCCATCTCCGAATGTCAGAGTTCATTTTAGGCCACACGAAGCGTTCGCTGATCAGTCTGACCGTGGCGCGTACTCCAGGGTGAGAAAGCGAATGTAAATGTTCGAACAATGCTTTTCGGCAACTGAGAGGGACAAATGGACGATTAGTGCCGGTAGATACATCGCAGACTATGGTTGCATCTGATAAGGGGATAGGCACATCTTTGAGCTGTAAGGAAGAGTTTCTGCGGCAGGTTTGGAGTTCAACGTCATCTCTTTGTAATTGAGCCATACGATCAAGACTGATGTCTACCGACGTTTGGAGCTGGTTAATGTCACTTCTTGAAAGAGAATCGGCTACCACGTTCGCATCCCCTTTGATGTACTGGATGTCGGTTGAAAATTGGGAGATATAATCCAACTGTCTGGCTTCTCTAGGGGAGTGTTTATCGAGTGAAGTAGTGAAAGCATGACACAGGGGCTTGTGGTCAGTAAAAATAGTGAAATGCCGGCCCTGTAGTAAGTAACTGAAATGCTTCACTGCAAGATATATGGCCAGCAATTCTCTCCCAAAAGTGCTGTATCGTGTCTGAGCCGGTTCCAACTTCTTAGAAAAGAATGCGAGTGGGGTGACTTCGCCCTTCATCTTTTGTTGTAATACTGCCCCTACAGCTACTTGGGAGGCATCTGTGCACAAAATAAGCGACGCTTCGGGGTTGATATGGGATAGCATAGTGACTCTGGATAAGGCATCTTTTGCGTTGCAAAATGATTCGTGTGCTTCAGCTGACCACTGAAACTTTTTAGGATCATTTTTAAGGAGGTCGGTTAACGGCTGGACGATGGAGGCACACGAAGGAATGAAACGCCGATAGAAATTAAACATCCCCAAAAAACGTCTGACCTTCTTGAGTGAATCTGGTTCGGGGAAGTTTTTGATGGACTCTATCTTTTCCTCCGTAGGCGTAATACCATTCGCGGTTATGTGGTGTCCCAGAAACTGTATAGAGGAGACACCGAATATGCACTTTTTGGGGTTAATGACGACTCCATATTGCTCAAATCGTTGAAATAAGATGGTGAGGTGATCAGTATGTTCTTCGGGCGACGAGCTAGCAATTAAAACGTCATCGATATATACAAATACAAAGTCCAAACCTTGTGTGACCTGATCCATGAAACGTTGGAAGGATTGTGCTGCGTTCTTTAGGCCAAATGGCATGCGGAGAAATTCAAACAAACCGAAAGGTGTGATGATGGCCGTTTTTTCGATATCCTCTTGGGCAACTGGTATTTGGTGATAGGCCCTGACCAAGTCTACTTTAGAAAAAATGGTTTTTCCGTGTAATGTCAGGGAGAAATCATGAAGATGAGGAATAGGATAACGGTCGGGAACTGTGGCATTGTTTAAATGTCGGTAATCCCCACATGGCCTCCAATCATGATCAGCTTTAGGCACCATGTGTAAGGGCGAAGACCAAGGACTATTGGAGGGTCTGATGATGCCGAGCTGCATCATGTGTTCAAATTCTGCCTTGGCTGCTGCCAATTTGTCCGGGGGTAATCTACGAGGACGAGCACGAACTGGTTGACCCGTAGTAACTATCTTGTGAGTAACTGTGTGAGGGACGTCCTCGATGTTGTACGACGGCTTAAGAATTTTAGGGAAACGGTGAAGTAGGGAGGAAAAAGGGCAATCTGCTGGTCTTTCAATACTGATATTATAGACAGAATAGCTGGAGATAATTCCATGGATCTTTAGATGGGTGTTGTTATCAATCAGTTTTTTATTGTTGACGTCAACTAACAGGTTGAAATTACTCAAGAAATCTGCTCCGAGGATGGCGTGACTGACGTCGGCTACTATGAAAATCCATGTGAAACGCCGACGTAAACCTAGATCCAGTATGAGGGATTGCTCTCCATACGTCTGTATGCTTGTGTGGTTAGCTGCCCGGAGAGACAGTTTTCCGGGTGTCCGTGTAGATCGCCTGGATAGTGAAGGAGGGATTACGCTAACTTCTGCTCCCGTGTCTACCAGGAATAAAGTGTCTGAAGTTTTATCCTTCACATAGAAGAGGCGACTTGTTTGCTTGCCAGTAACAGCTGTCGCCATCACTGTCTGGCTGAGGCGTTTCCCTGAGCCTGGTTGGCTTCGCTAAAGCTGCACGGTTTTACACATTTCAGGGCATGACGTCCAAACTTCCAGTGATACCAGCATATATTGCTATCCCGAGAAGACGTGTAAGAACGCTGTCGTGAGAAGGATCGTCGTCGTGATGGTGACCTTCTTTGTGAGCTCCGCCTCCGGACTTGTCGATCAGACCTATTAGTTTCCAAATTGTCAATCCTTGCCGCTAAGTCTGCAATGGCGGCGAGTATCGGTGTGTCTGCCGTGGGTGTGGAATGACACGGTGTGGCACTATCAGATGCTACGTGACTTATGGTGTTATCGGATAAAACATCCATAATACTATCTGCCATGTCACTTAGTTGGTCTAAGTCATACGACTTTCCTGAGATGATTAAAATTTGCTGGACATTTCTAGGTAAACGTTGCAACCACATCTGTTTCAGCACTACCTCGTCTACTTTATGATGTCCGATTAACTGGCGCATGTGCCTGAGCAGCTGGGATGGTTTACGTGGGCCTAGTTCACAGCCTGTGAGCAATTGTTGGATTCTTTTCTCATCCGACAAACTGGTACGTTGTATGAGGAGGGCTTTAAGTTTATCAAATTGATGTTCCGTCGGAGGATCTTCGATGAAATCGCTGATTTCTGTCAATACTGACGGAGGGAGTTCTGCCAGCACCATACCATATTTGGCTATTTGGGACTTAATGCCCCGTGCTTCTAGCAACGGTTCAATTACCGCAAACCAAATCCTTGGTTCTGCGAAACCGTATTGGGGTAAACGAAAATCAGTGATGGCATTTATTGTGGCATTTGTCTCGCTATTAGTTGTCTGCTCGTTTGATGTACCGGACTGAGGTGATGACATTATAAATATGAGGTTATTGGTGCAAATTAGGATACAAATATAAACCACACACAAAATCACAATGAATATACAAAATAGCAAAAATAAGAATATAAATATGCCAAAATAATCCGTGTTCTTATCGGGCTCACCAATTAATTTGTAGGGGACTAATATTAGAGTTCACTAACATTCCAAGTATAAAAGTAATAATCCAAGTCAGTGGAGTGTTAAATCACAATATATTACCAAAAATACAGTGACGAGTTATAGCAACAAAAAGGATTACTTGGTTATAAAGTGTAAGTCCTCGGCTACAAATTAATTATATAATCCACAGGCACGTTAACTGTTTGGACTGCGTCTGCTGTAGCTGCTGTGTTCCGGTTGTAGAAATGTCTTCGGTTGAGAGTAGTAGGCTCCTACAATAAATCCGAAGTATACAACACGGTGTGAGTGGAGCAAGTAAGCAGAAGTGACCAGGGAGAAGACGAAGTCTCCAACAGCAGAGTGTATTTTTCAATTGTACACGGAAGTTATGTATATTTCAACAAGAAGCGTTTTAAACAAAAATTATGTACAATATCTCGAATTTATACAAGTAACCAAAAAGTGTACAATCACATTGTTATGTACTCAACAGGAGCACTTAGTGGAGATGTGCAAATGTGTGTGTGAGTGGAATGAGAATTACGTTGTAGGTGTGAAGTGTGTGCTAGCTAGCTAGCTAACCAGAACATGTGAACACGAAACACACCTATCGAAACACCCATCAATGTCACACACACACACTGACACACACATATGTCACTAACAACGCAAACCAAAAACAATATCACAACACTTTCACTCACTCACTCACTCACTTATTCTCACACATCAAGAAGATTCAGTTGTGTGGATACCTCATACGACAATGAGTCGAGCATATTGCCAAACGCTGACTGGTTAGCATAACAAAGAACCTTCTATCCGATAACTTCGGATTCTATAGTTATTTGTCCCCCACATTAGTTGAAGGATAGATAATTGATATAAGAAAGACGAATTTATTGACTTGCGTTAGCAAGTGATGTGCTGAGTGTCAGTCAGTCAGTCATTTATTCAGTCAGTCAGTCAGTCAGTCAGTCGGTCAGTCATCAGCCAAGTGGAATTTCTACATGGTGTCAATTGGGAGTGAGAAGAAATCCTTTGTCCTGTTAATAGTGACGGGTGACTTATCAGATTCACATTGTCTTCATCACTGTCATACCTTCCGGGTGTTCACGTGAGAATTAGCCTCCTTCTTCGCCTGTAGGAATGAATGCACAGGCGAACATTTCCGTCAGAAGCTTGTCAGCTCCTCTCACTCAGACCACACAAGAAAGCCACCAGACTCAGCTAACCTGAAAAACATACTCGGGGAAAAGCTCTCCTAGTCATCGTAGTCGCAATCCAAATCGAAATCGAAATCGAAATACTCAAAATTACTAGATAACCTAAGAGATAAGGTGAATCACAAAGTCAGTCAGTCAGTCAGTCAGTGTTGACACCATGCAAACTGTCAGTTGGCTAACAGGACATTTACTCACATTTTCCAAACAAAACGATGGTAGTCAGGTCAGCTGATACTAAACATTGGGACAAGGCTAGATAAGCTTGAGAGAAGCGGGTGGAAACTAGTAGTGTATTTGATATAAGGAGTAGTGGTATAGGTAATGTTATGGGTAATGGTATTCGTATTGGTATTGGTATTGGTATTGGTATTGGTATTGGTATATTTATTGCTATAGCTAGTGCCATTGCTGGTGGTAGTGGTAGTGGTAGTGGTAGTGGTCGTATTGTTTTTAGTCGGTTTCGTTGTGGTAGTGAAATGTTTGAGAGTAGTTGGTTATATAATTTTATGTGAGAGGGCAGATTTTGTGCGGGATGAGTATATACTACTTAATAAGAAGTGGTGATGGCAAGGGATTGCAGAGCACTGGTGTTGAGAACTGTGATTCGAGTATTTTGATTGGTGTTGATTTGATGTGTGAGGGTGTTGTATGCGTGGTGTGTGTCGCTTGAGGAGTACTTAGTGGAGATGTGCAAATGTGTGTGTGAGTGGAATGAGAATTACGTTGTAGGTGTGAAGTGTGTGCTAGCTAGCTAGCTAACCAGAGCATGTGAACACGAAACACACCTATCGAAACACCCATCGATGTCACACACACACACTGACACACACATATATCTCTAACAACGCAAACCAAAAACAATATCACAACACTTTCACTCACTCACTCACTCACTTATTCTCACACATCAAGAAGATTCAGTTGTGTGGATACCTCATACGACAATGAGTCGAGCATATTGCCAAACGCTGACTGGTTAGCATAACAAAGAACCTTCTATCCGATAACTTCGGATTCTATAGTTATTTGTCCCCCACATTAGTTGAAGGATAGATAATTGATATAAGAAAGACGAATTTATTGACTTGCGTTAGCAAGTGATGTGCTGAGTGTCAGTCAGGCAGTCATTTATTCAGTCAGTCAGTCAGTCAGTCAGTCGGTCAGTCATCAGCCAAGTGGAATTTCTACATGGTGTCAATTGGGAGTGAGAAGAAATCCTTTGTCCTGTTAATAGTGACGGGTGACTTATCAGATTCACATTGTCTTCATCACTGTCATACCTTCCGGGTGTTCACGTGAGAATTAGCCTCCTTCTTCGCCTGTAGGAATGAATGCACAGGCGAACATTTCCGTCAGAAGCTTGTCAGCTCCTCTCACTCAGACCACACAAGAAAGCCACCAGACTCAGCTAACCTGAAAAACATACTCGGGGAAAAGCTCTCCTAGTCATCGTAGTCGCAATCCAAATCGAAATCGAAATCGAAATACTCAAAATTACTAGATAACCTAAGAGATAAGGTGAATCACAAAGTCAGTCAGTCAGTCAGTCAGTCAGTGTTGACACCATGCAAACTGTCAGTTGGCTAACAGGACATTTACTCACATTTTCCAAACAAAACGATGGTAGTCAGGTCAGCTGATACTAAACATTGGGACAAGGCTAGATAAGCTTGAGAGAAGCGGGTGGAAACTAGTAGTGTATTTGATATAAGGAGTAGTGGTATAGGTAATGTTATGGGTAATGGTATTCGTATTGGTATTGGTATTGGTATTGGTATTGGTATTGGTATATTTATTGCTATAGCTAGTGCCATTGCTGGTGGTAGTGGTAGTGGTAGTGGTAGTGGTCGTATTGTTTTTAGTCGGTTTCGTTGTGGTAGTGAAATGTTTGAGAGTAGTTGGTTATATAATTTTATGTGAGAGGGCAGATTTTGTGCGGGATGAGTATATACTACTTAATAAGAAGTGGTGATGGCAAGGGATTGCAGAGCACTGGTGTTGAGAACTGTGATTCGAGTATTTTGATTGGTGTTGATTTGATGTGTGAGGGTGTTGTATGCGTGGTGTGTGTCGCTTGAGGAGTACTTAGTGGAGATGTGCAAATGTGTGTGTGAGTGGAATGAGAATTACGTTGTAGGTGTGAAGTGTGTGCTAGCTAGCTAGCTAACCAGAACATGTGAACACGAAACACACCTATCGAAACACCCATCGATGTCACACACACACACTGACACACACATATATCTCTAACAACGCAAACCAAAAACAATATCACAACACTTTCACTCACTCACTCACTCACTCACTTATTCTCACACATCAAGAAGATTCAGTTGTGTGGATACCTCATACGACAATGAGTCGAGCATATTGCCAAACGCTGACTGGTTAGCATAACAAAGAACCTTCTATCCGATAACTTCGGATTCTATAGTTATTTGTCCCCCACATTAGTTGAAGGATAGATAATTGATATAAGAAAGACGAATTTATTGACTTGCGTTAGCAAGTGATGTGCTGAGTGTCAGTCAGGCAGTCATTTATTCAGTCAGTCAGTCAGTCAGTCAGTCAGTCGGTCAGTCATCAGCCAAGTGGAATTTCTACATGGTGTCAATTGGGAGTGAGAAGAAATCCTTTGTCCTGTTAATAGTGACGGGTGACTTATCAGATTCACATTGTCTTCATCACTGTCATACCTTCCGGGTGTTCACGTGAGAATTAGCCTCCTTCTTCGCCTGTAGGAATGAATGCACAGGCGAACATTTCCGTCAGAAGCTTGTCAGCTCCTCTCACTCAGACCACACAAGAAAGCCACCAGACTCAGCTAACCTGAAAAACATACTCGGGGAAAAGCTCTCCTAGTCATCGTAGTCGCAATCCAAATCGAAATCGAAATCGAAATACTCAAAATTACTAGATAACCTAAGAGATAAGGTGAATCACAAAGTCAGTCAGTCAGTCAGTCAGTCAGTGTTGACACCATGCAAACTGTCAGTTGGCTAACAGGACATTTACTCACATTTTCCAAACAAAACGATGGTAGTCAGGTCAGCTGATACTAAACATTGGGACAAGGCTAGATAAGCTTGAGAGAAGCGGGTGGAAACTAGTAGTGTATTTGATATAAGGAGTAGTGGTATAGGTAATGTTATGGGTAATGGTATTCGTATTGGTATTGGTATTGGTATTGGTATTGGTATTGGTATATTTATTGCTATAGCTAGTGCCATTGCTGGTGGTAGTGGTAGTGGTAGTGGTAGTGGTCGTATTGTTTTTAGTCGGTTTCGTTGTGGTAGTGAAATGTTTGAGAGTAGTTGGTTATATAATTTTATGTGAGAGGGCAGATTTTGTGCGGGATGAGTATATACTACTTAATAAGAAGTGGTGATGGCAAGGGATTGCAGAGCACTGGTGTTGAGAACTGTGATTCGAGTATTTTGATTGGTGTTGATTTGATGTGTGAGGGTGTTGTATGCGTGGTGTGTGTCGCTTGAGGAGTACTTAGTGGAGATGTGCAAATGTGTGTGTGAGTGGAATGAGAATTACGTTGTAGGTGTGAAGTGTGTGCTAGCTAGCTAGCTAACCAGAACATGTGAACACGAAACACACCTATCGAAACACCCATCGATGTCACACACACACACACTGACACACACATATATCTCTAACAACGCAAACCAAAAACAATATCACAACACTTTCACTCACTCACTCACTCACTCACTTATTCTCACACATCAAGAAGATTCAGTTGTGTGGATACCTCATACGACAATGAGTCGAGCATATTGCCAAACGCTGACTGGTTAGCATAACAAAGAACCTTCTATCCGATAACTTCGGATTCTATAGTTATTTGTCCCCCACATTAGTTGAAGGATAGATAATTGATATAAGAAAGACGAATTTATTGACTTGCGTTAGCAAGTGATGTGCTGAGTGTCAGTCAGGCAGTCATTTATTCAGTCAGTCAGTCAGTCAGTCAGTCAGTCATCAGCCAAGTGGAATTTCTACATGGTGTCAATTGGGAGTGAGAAGAAATCCTTTGTCCTGTTAATAGTGACGGGTGACTTATCAGATTCACATTGTCTTCATCACTGTCATACCTTCCGGGTGTTCACGTGAGAATTAGCCTCCTTCTTCGCCTGTAGGAATGAATGCACAGGCGAACATTTCCGTCAGAAGCTTGTCAGCTCCTCTCACTCAGACCACACAAGAAAGCCACCAGACTCAGCTAACCTGAAAAACATACTCGGGGAAAAGCTC